ATTAGACAAAGTCAATATTAATTTAAACTAAAATATTAATTCAGCGGCTACTTCAAATAATTATTTAAACCCCAAACAAAATGTAGTTTTTCAACGTCCTCTCACTTAATTCTACACTTTGTGGATTAACACTTGATACAAACACATTTATATTTTAGACCTATTGAAGTCATTTAAAATGTGACGCTGTAGCCTACACCAACACTGATTAAAATACTAATTTAAAATAAATATTGACTTCTGCTCAGCCAACAGAAAGAAGGCAGAGGCCCGAAAAACGGGTGGAGGGCCACCTCCACCACCTCTGACGGAGGCTGAGGAGCTGGCCCTCAGCCAAAACAGGGGTCGCCCTGTGGCTGAAGGCATCCCCGGGGGAAGCTCATCCGAACCTGTCACCCCCCAGGACACAAGTCCCTACATCAAATGCAAGTATACACTTATGTCTTTAAAAAAAATAAAACTAATATATAAATATATATAGCCTACTTTTTAACAAATATATATCCACCCACCCAACAGTTGTGGATGGTGTCATCTGCCTGCTTCAGCCTCCGACAGAAACAAACCCTGTAGCTGTAAGTCTTCCATACTTAGATGCTTCAGATGGTAGTTCAAAGTATTCTGAAACAGTATATTTTCCTGCATTACAGGAGGAGGAGGATGAAGAAACACTGTCTGCTGCCACAGGGAGAGATCCAGAGGGGCTTCCTGAAGTGTGTCTTAATATATAGCTACTGGCAGTGCCCATTCATTTACATTCTAAAGTGGAATTTGGAGTTTGACATGTACACTAAATAGATGAGCATAAATAATGGACAAATTAGCTCATTCTTGTCCTTCAACAGAACATGGCTGGGCATCACCAGGAGGAGGGTCCATCAACCTCAGCGGCACAGCTTGTCAAAGTGAGATTTTCGGTCAATACCATGTTAAATCTGTATGTAGAACTAAAGGAATTAAATGTCGTCCATGTTTCCCAGCACCCGGTTAAGGAGTTATACAAGGTGCACCTTGTGACAAGTATAAAAAAAACCCAAAAAGAAATGGTCTATCTGGATCGGCAGATTGCTAAAACGGAGCTGGAAATTCGATTACTGGAACGCCAGTTGAGGTGGGTGCATTGTCATGGTGAATATGTGAAATATGTTAATTGTTGGAACTACATCACAAATCCTGACTGTTGCTTTTGTACTCTTAGGGAATAAAGAAGAACCAAATCACATATGCATTTGTTTTTATTTTTTTAAATCAAAAATGATTTTGGGCGATTAGGTCCCTAACTGCCCTTCCATCCTCATCAGCCGGGTCATTGATTTGTATGGCAGGGTGTTGCTCTCCTCTAAAAATGGCAATATTATGGAGAACAACACATGCCACAATGATGTCACATGCCCTCTCTGGGGTGACCCTGAGCTTACGCAGGCACTGGAACCGGGATTTGAGTATGCCTATAGTCATCTCAACCCGGGCTCTAGTCCTGCAGTGGGCCACATTAAAACGTTGTTGGGGCCCTGGCTCAGGGTCAGGGTAAGGGGTCAACAGAGAGGGCTGGCATGGATAGCCTCGATCCCCCAGCAGGTAGCTATCAAACTCTCCTGTAAATATAGAGGACACATTTGAGTGCATTAAAAAAGGGAGACAAAGAACATCTGTACAAAGCTTTAGCTTCCTTACCACGTGCAAATCTGTTGCTCAGACTACACTCCCGGTAGATCCGGGAATCATGCACCGAGCCAGGCCACTTGGCCTCCACATTTGTGATAATGGATGCTGCATCACATATGATCTTTACAGTGCAGAATGACATGAGTTAGTTGTAATGTAAACGTTTTCATGTATATTTTTTTTAAGATGGTAGGTCACATACCTGGACATTGATGCTATGAAAGGATTTTCTATTTACATAGTCCCCTTCATTTTGAGATGGCGTAGTGATAGGGATTTGTGTCCCGTCTATGCAGCCTATCACATTAGGAAGGCCTGCAAAATGACAGATAATTAAGCTACTGACCCCACTCTGAGGCCGCAGCAGAATGTAGGCCTATATCATAATTTAAAATAACAGAATATATGATTTCTACATCACGTCACCTGCAATCCTGTAGAATTCCTCTTTGATGGTACGAAGAGGTTTGTGTCCGGGGAACACCACCATCATAGGTAACAGGCGTTTCAGTGCGAGGGTTACCTTCCTCACTGCTCTGCACACTGTTGCCTTCCCATAGTGCTCTGCATCCCCGATATTATAAAGAAAACTGCCGTTTGCAAAAAAACGTAGTGCTATACATAAAGTTTGCTCTGATGTGAGTGCTCGTCCGCGGTGTGTGAGATTGGTGATATGTGGCCGGAGAAGGTTATTTAGATAAATTATACTGTTTAAAGAAAAGCGGTAGCGTTCGAAAAGAATTCATCTGGAAATGATAAAACGTCTAATCTGGGTCGGAAGATTCTTTCGCGACGTAAACCGTTGCGCATTATTCTCACTTCGATGTCGATCGGATTTTCAAGGAATGGACAATCCATGTTCAATCGCTTTCTTTGTGTGGGAGGAGACATGTAGAAACTCTGGGTCTCTTATAGTAAACCTGTCAGCGGGCAGGTTATGTTCACAGAGTAAGTCACCGCAGTAACTGACCCAGTGTTTAAGTTACCTCTCTTTCTGGAACGGATAACTCAGAGTTTCCCTCATCTCAGGGTTAACTTACTCAGAGTTTTTCACATAACCCGCTTTCTGGAATACCCCCGAGGAGAATTCAAGAAAGAGAGTGTTGGGTGGGTGGCTGCTGAAAGGCTCGGAGTGAGGCACAGGAAAACAAGAAAAAAGAGACCAACAAAGAAAAAGAGGGTCGACAAAGGAACACTAGAACACTAGAAATTCTCAATGAAGATGTATTAAATCGCGAAAGCTCAGAGGGGCCGTTGTACCACTGCGAGCTGGCGACAATACTGTGGTGCTAAAGCTTGTGTCTGCAGCAGATTTAAAGGCCAGCTGATTGTTGAGTGACAGCAGGTGTGTGTAATCAGCCTCAGCGCCGCAGGGGTAAGGGAGCAGCCTCTGAAACAGGTGAATGGACAGTAGAACCCACACAGCAAACAGACTCAAATAATAAAAAAGAATGAACACCAGTCCGTGCTCACCACAACAACTGGACTTTCTGATGGCTGTAGTGGTTTGAATTTATAATAAATGTCCTAAGATTTATATTTGACAATAATCTTGATTTATGACATTTATGCACTCGTTGAAAGGGGCACCACCCACCTTTAATGGCGGGAAAATGAAGAAAAACAAAAGTTTAATTCAGAAATCAAACATGAAGTCAGTCTTAAATCAATTTTAAATTCATGTCATATCTCAAGCTGAAATTCTCATATCAGGGACTTCACTTCTGGAAGAACACTAACAGACAAGAACTTAGAAAGATAATGATCTGTTTATTACAGGATAAATGATGGTACAACATGCATGCAATAAATGAGGATAAGATAATGGGGATAAATAGTAGTAGATGAATAAAAGATTCTGAGTCAGGCTAGGATTACTTTTTTTTCTTTTTTTAAATGGACCACTTAGCCTATACGAACACACACGTCTGAAAATTTTAATTTTCAGAGGGAATCTTTTTGAACACTGAGTAGGAATAACCCATCACTGCAATGATTTTCTTTTTAATTTGTAATGTCTTCATGGGTAAAAAAATCTTGACGTCTTTGTTTTTTGATGCATTTTAACAGGAACAATTTAAACAGCCAAAAAAGGATGGAGCAGCAGGTCAGGAATAAATTCAAAAATATTTTACAAAGTGGTAAGTTGCCTCTTTTCACACGTGAAATTGTCAAAATAGCACCAGAGCTGCCAATAGCCTGTGTGTAATTGCAGCTAACAAAAAAAAGCTGAGGCCACTTCCACAGGTGGAGGAACTCCACTGGAGAGCCTCACCCCAGCAAAGGAGATGGTGCTGAGTGCACATAAGGGGCGGCCCCTGGTTGAGGGAATACAGGGGGAGACATCTACTGAGGACATTTCCCCCTGTAGCAACTAGGAGGTGCTGGTGCAAGGTATGCATGGCCAATCATCCTCCAAAGCTGGTGGTGTGTTGGGTATCACCAACACTTAGTTTTTATTATTTAGAGTGTGGGGAAATTATTACTTTAGTGGACCCCCCTTGCAGTCAAGACACAGAGAGCATCCCTGAACCACCTGTATGCATGTGACACAAATTCTACTTCAAAAGTCCTCTTCAGCAACTGAATAATTCAACAACCACGATGTGCATTTGGGGTGAGGGTGATGGTCCATCCAGGCCCTTTGAAGACGAGGAGGACACCATATTGGTTCAAGACTCACCAGAAGTAAGACAAAATGTGACTTTTAATGAATGCACCTGATTTCTCTAGATCATGTATAACCATTCCTTCTTGCTACAGGGTGTGACCAACACCACACAAGGATCGCTCCCTCCAAGAAATGAAGTAAGTTGCAATTAATGAAATTTATCAACTATGTGGCTGGTACTCACATCTTCTTCTCACAATGGAGAATCAACAGCTGGTTAAAACAATTAAGAAACTCAAAATAAAAAAGCTCAAGCTGGAAATAACAAAACTGGAGAAAGATGTAAGAACATGTCCCACACAAGAAAGCCATGTTTACATTTACATTCTTTTAATGTTTATTTATTGTTTCCTTCACAGCTTGGACTAAAATAAAAACTTAAATTAACTGTGACTCAAACTAAGTTTTTATTTTCTCCAATGATTGTGATTTTAAAAAATGGGGGTGATGAAAAGGGGAAACATAAAAAAGTGAATGTATGTAAAATTGTTCAACTAAAATAGGTGACTGTGTAAAGGTCCCTCACTCTCTGTCCATTTACACGTCCCTGTGGCTCTGCGTTGATTTCCTCCCATCCCTCTTCATCCAACACATGTGGCAGCCTCTTGCAACGAATCGTTGCAATGTTGTGCAAAACTGCACAGGCAACAATGATGTCACAGGCCCTGTCGGGAGCCACTTTCAGGCACTGAAACCTGGATTTCATAAGTCCAAACAGCATCTCCACTCGTTCCCTGGTTCTAGCATGTGCACAGTTAAAGGCCCTCTGCTGATCTGAAGCAGGATTCATGTAAGGGGTCAAAAGAAACGGCAGGCACGGATAACCTCTGTCCCCAAGTAGGATGCCGTTGAAATCACCTGCAGAATAAATATTCACTTTTATTACAAATAATTACATCTTTGACCTTGCAATATTCATTACTTGCAAAGTAGAACCAGTTAACATAAAACTGTCTTACCTTGTGCAAACCTATGCGAAAGTGATGGTGCTCTCCATATTCTTGCATCATGGACAGACCCTGGCTATTTGGCCTCAATGTTAGTGATCAGGTATCGTCCATCGCAGATCATCTGCCAGCATGGAGGGTGGGTTTTTATCACCTAAAGAACATCGCCAGAGTCCGCCCCATTCTCCCTCTGGCCGACACGGAGACGCTAATGCATGCTTTTATCACCAGTCGTATGGACTATTGTAATGCCCTGCTTTCTGGTCTTCCCAAAAAGAATATTTCAGGTCTACAATTATTACAAAATTTAGCAGCATGTGTCCTGACTAAGACCAGGAGGCGGGCCCACATAACACCGGTTTTAGAATCACTGCATTGGCTCCCGCTGTGTTTAAGGATTGATTTTAAGGTTCTTTTACTTGTTTTTAAATGACTTAATGGTCTTGGGCCTTCTTATCTTTCAGAACTGCTTTTACCTTATGAACCTTCATGGACCCTGCGCTCCTCTGGCAGCAGGCTCCTAGTCATTCCAAAAGTCAGGACACACACTCATGGTGAGGCGTCTTTTCAATATTACAGCCCTCATCTATGGAACAGCCTGCTGGAGAACCTCAGGGCCATAGAGAACATTCATGTTTTTAAGAGCAGGCTCAAGACCCACCTTTTTTGCTTAGCTTTTAATTGATATTTATTTGTTTTATTTTCATTTATTCTAGCTAGCCTTGGTTTATTTTAGATTTGTGTTTTATTCATATTTTAGGTTTTACTTGTTTTTATCCTTTCATCATTTTTAGGACCCCCAGTGTTTTTCTCCTTCGGCACTGGGAGCAGTGGCCGCTTGTGGTTGCAGGGGCTGGCCATGGGGTTCCTGGTGGAGGTTGCTGTCTGAGACATCCCTCAACTGGCCCCCGTCGGTGTCCTGTGGCTGTGGGCGGCTCTCTGCTCCTGGTGCTGACGGCTCCTCTGATGGCGCCCTCTCAACTGGTTTATCTGTACTCAGCCTCATGCCCATTCTCTTTCTGTGTGCATGTGGCGTGTGTATGTGTGTGTGTGCTTGCGGCTTTGCTCGCAGGGTGTAGTGATGCGTCTAGTGCAGCGTGCTAGAGAGACGTTGCATGTAGGGATGCACCCCACCTTAGTTCCTGCCGCTGACCAACCCACTTTGGGTAAAGGAAGCTGAGTGCATAAGTCTTCCGAGGTCAGTACATAGCCTCTCCTTCACCAAGACCCCTCCCTTGCCTCCTCGTGGCAGCACACGGTAACTGAGGTCCTGCGACCTCAGGCTGAAAGATAGGGGATCGATGGGTAGCAGTGGGCCCGACCAACATACCACTGCCCCACTGCCAAGTGGGTAAACCCGGGAGGGTGCTTTGAATAGGGGAGAAAACCCCGAAAACAAATCTGCACTCGGGACAGGCACAGGCGGAGTCCAAAGGATCGGACCACTGGCAGTCCCCTGCAGCTCCAGCCAGGTCGAAGGTCATCATGGGTCCCTCATGCCACTGGAGGTCAACCTGACGGAGTGAAAATGATGGGAGTGAGGACAGAAATGTACATATATGTGAGTAACACAAAAAACTATTATATGGTGCTGCTGTTTTTGCTTGTAGAAACTGTTTTCTTGATTCTGGCAAGACAAAATCTTTCTCAAATGTCATAAATACATCTACCTAACACCTAAAACAGTTATTGGTACCTTAGTTTACGCATAAGTGAATTCAGATTATGAAATGTAGCAAATTTCTTGAAGAAAACATCTCAACTCAAGTGATTTGCACACAGCACAATGAAATATATACAGTATATTTAGCTAAAAGCTTATGTTTCATACATAAAAATGACACAACCTACTGTGTAATAAAAGCAATAAAATATAAACAGCACATCATGGCCATAAATGGCTGAAAGTCAATCAAATTGCTACCACGCCCCCCAAAATTGGAATAATGGAACATGTAACAAGACAAAAATAAATGCACAAAAGGTCTGAATTAATTCAAAATATGGTATAAAACATTTATTCAAGTATCACAGTGTCAAAACATCTGACATTTATCAATCCCTCCAGAATATGAAAATAAAGATCAAAACACAAACACAGACAGATGTAGAACAAATATAAAAATAATAAAAATCTCAAATCTTCACCTCGCTTCACCCCTCTGCATATTTGATTGTGCGTGTGCAAGTATCACTACGCCGCAGAAAGGAAATAGTTCGACGCCGAAACACTGATTACTAAAAATCGACTGGATGGCATGAGTAGATTTTTTTTTTTAGTACTTAATATCAATAGAGCTATTTTATGACTCACAGTTTATGTTGCCCCACTGAAGTGGAACGAGATTCACTTTCTAGGCACTTTTTCCTCTGTCCCAATACAGCCTATTGGTTTTGCTGTGAAGTCCCAACTGCTGCAGCGCATCCTAGAATCCCCCATCGACATCAACGAGAGACTGATGACATGGCGCATCCCCACTCTGTAGTCCTCATATAACTCCATGAGGAGTTTTTGCTCGGCTGAGGAAAAGTACTCTGCTCTCGATTTTGACATGATTTCATCATTTCGCCAATTGACACATTGGGGCTTTTTCTGTGCCGCGGATGCACGCTGAGCCAGGGCTTGGATCAACAGCTGAGCCTCGTTAGTGGAATGAGTTGCAGCTCAAAACGTAGCCTTAAAGTGGTCGCTTATTAAAGCGACGCTTACTGGCGATAGCCCAGCCTTCTTTAGCCAGCTTCGTGGAATAGCCCTTAGACATAGATTCTATTTGCACAGAGCTTCTCACCACACCCAACACCCTCACTACTGATTGCTGACTTCACCATTAGTTTATTCTTTGTTGAGTACTTTGATAAATTATTTCTTTATTTAAAAGCTGTCACTGTGTCAACCTCCCTTCTTTGTTATGCTCTTCATCAAGCTGGGCATGACAGCTTATTATGCATATTATCTGTAGTTGGGTATACTCTCCTAAATCTGTGTGTGTGGATAGAGTATGGACTTGTAAGGAACAATGACATAGTTACAGTTATTGTGAAACACCATGAGGTAAGACGTTTTAGAAAGTATCAGACAACACAGCAAAAACTAGAGCTCGGGTTCTATCTCTTTTTGCTCTGGTCATGAGGCAGCTGCTTTTAATAAGAAGATAAACAGAAATATGCCAGAGAAGACTGCGTTGTGCCGTTCTTGCAATGCTAGCAAGACATCATGGAATTGTAAGTGAGAGGCTAAACAACGGTGGGCAGTTCATTCACCAACAGAAAAAAAAATTCGAATTTTTAAAAATTTTTAAAATTATATAATTTTATTACGTGGTCTTCTTTGTCAGACTACGCCATCTTCTGGCGAGTATTGTGCCAGGATCCTTGCCAGAACAGTACAGTCCAGTAAGCAGCCAATGATTAATTACACCCAGTCTGGATGCCGCCAGTTATTTAAACAGAAAACTGTTTTATTCGGTGCAAATACAAGCTGTATGTGACCACCAGTGTCACTTCCTGGACATCTTTGTGGGCTACCCTGGCTCGGTCCATGACAGCAGGGTGTTCAAAAACAGTCCTCTTTTCACCCAGAGCCTCTACCCACCTGAAGGCTTTTGTATTTTGGGGGACAGTGCATACCCCTGCATGTCCCAGCCCATTGCCCTCATGACAGCTGCTCATTCTAACCACCACCATGCACAGGCACTCTCTGTAATCTAGAGGGCATTTGGCATAATGAAAACTCGTTGGAGATCAATCTTTTTCAAGGCCCTGGAGGTTAGCCCTACCTTTGCAGTGAAGTTAAATGGCCTGTTGTGCCACTCTGAACAACTTCTGCCTCCGAAATGGTGACACAGTTGACCCAGAGGAGGAGGCCCTTCACCTGGAGGATGGAGACTGTGGACTTTCCATGAAAAGGTTGTCATGAGCTTCTCAGATATGTAGAGTTACATTTTTTAATGTGATATGTAGATTTATATAATAATCTAGCTGTGTTAATTTGTAGAATTAGCCAATTTCTAGTCACATAATACAGTCAATACATTGCTATTGAAAACAGACAAGCTTTTGTGGTTACTAGTCCATACCCATGGTGGAGAAGGTGATAAGATGCACAATTACCTGTGCACACAGACCATCATATGTTTTGAGGATTGTACATTTTAGTTCCGAGATACTGCTGGACTGCCAGAATGACAAACAGAGTGACTGACAGACAACTTCCCTTCATTATAGTAGGATAGTTTTTTTAAATAATTTTTTTCACAATTTCTCAACAATTTTCTCGAGAAGGCTTAGCATGTGCTCCTCTCTGGCCTGACTTCTTCTTGCCCTCTCCTCAGCCCTCTCCAGCAGCTCTAAAATGAGATCTGCCCTCTTCCTCCTCTTTCTCTGTCTTTCCCCTCCGTTCTCAACAGAGGGGAATGTCAGACGGCACTGAATCAGGGGAGATGGGCCCAGACGTGGAAGGGCTCTCACTCCAGGCAGAGGCAATAAGGCAAGAAGGCCGAATAGACGGCCTCCCACCTATTGCCTGATCCATCATCGAGAACTACTTCCACGTTGCAGCTGTTGGCTCCCATGATTCACTGCCACTTCCGCTTGGTGGGCGCATCACTTCCTGTGCGCATTCAAAGACAGAAATATAAAATAGGCTACTATCGCATGTACGATGTGTTCTATTCAACTACAAAACAATGGTAACTAACCATAACTATGGTTATAAAAAGAGTAATTGGCTGAAGCCACAGTTGAATACAATAAATAACTCACCTTGTAGATCTTTTTCAGGTTCTCCCACTTTCTTGGTGCCCTGATGGGAGTCAGGATGCCCATGAGGCCCATGTCCATTATTATAGCTCTGGTGACAAAAGCAGTTAAATAGAGAGGCAAAAAATCCTATGGGTTAATAAAGTCCTAAAAATCATCTTCACATATCTGCCCAAATCTAGCACAATAACAGCCGTTCCAAGCTATTCCAAAGCAGTAACATGACTAGGATTATAAATTATAAAATAATACTGAGAGAACTTTACAAAACAAACTCACTCCCATGCAGCAGCAGAGGCAAATTGCTTCCCTGAGAACAGGGAGTTTTTCTCCTTTCTTAAAAGGATAAATTTGGCCACCTCTTCATCTGTTCCTACGGGTTAAATAAATAACAGATATTTTCTGGTGCTTCTATGAAACACCATGAATATGAAGTCGCATATTTTGCGGTGAAGAGAGCTAACCATGAGTAATAAATATTTATAGCATTATTATTAGCTGCTAGCTAGCGTTGGCTGGGGTAGCATGAATTTTTTAGTACATTGCGATAAAAATATAAAACAAAATTTTTGTTGTATGATGTTCTTCTAAATTGCCTACATTTGTAAGACATATTAGCTTGCGTTGGTGTTGGTGGGGGCCAGGGGCGGATCTAGGATTCTAGGAGACCAGGGGCTTAGCCCTGAGGGTGCAGATGCCGATTTACTTTTTCCGTCTTTTTTTGCTCCCATGCACACAAAACTACAATTTTTTTTACTTCAACTTACCACCTAGTCAAAGCTGGCAAAAGACACGAAGGAGAATACTTAAAAATTCTGACCCTTTAATGATGCAAATATCCTACCATGAGCCTTGTTGAAGTCACTGTCTTATGTCATGAGAATATGCCTCATGTCCACTGAAAGAAGAAAATATAAAATAAAAAAGCTATTCAGACTGATCATAAACTAAAGATGTGAAATAAAGCACGATAAAATGCATCTTTTGTCCTTACTGCTATACCTGTGATCCTGGCTGACACCTCTGCTGTCCTTTACTGCTCTGTTCTTCAATAGTTTATTCTCAACCCTTTTTCATCTGTTGTCTCTCCTCTTTTGCTTTCTCTGAAAGTTTTTGTGCGATTTTCATTTCTGTTCATTTTTTCCCCTCACTTTCTCTTCACTCCTTCCTCTTCTTTGTCTTCCTCACTCTTTAAATACAGTTCAGAGCTGTCCTCTTGTCTTGTCATGCCTCCTCTTCTGCGTTTGAATGTTATGGGTCATCTCCTGTCTTTTCCTCTTCACTCACTCATGAACTAAAATAAAAAAAAAACATTTACAAATAAAACCTATGAAACATCAAGATATATTGTGTTGGTAACAAATAGCCATTTGACTCCCCTTCTCCTTTTCACTTCCCTGCCCTATGTTTTTAAGTTATTTTTTATTGTGCAGCCTTTGCTGACAGTGTGTTCATCTCTGTGCTCACCCAAAGTCATGCAACACTCACAGAAATCGCCGAGCCAAAACGCCCAATATGAAGAGGTTGTTCACACTGCTGGATGTTTCTTCGAAGCTGCTCTCTGCCTCCGTCATTGTTTTCTTTACTCACGAAGCACGTTGCAAGATTCGAGCATGAATCCAGGCGCTTGAGTAAGCTTTATTAGCCTATCAGAGGCAGACGGGTATGATGATTTGATTCGCCACGACTCCAGAAATGATTGAAAAACTACAGGATGTTACAGAATGACGTATCCGCACCCTCGGCTTGAAGAGTAGACAAGCGCAGCAGCGCCGCCGGCTTGGAAGGTTGAAATGCATTTACGCTTTTACCGGCTCGAAGGGTTGTATTACCTACATGTACCCGGCTTTCTGAGTAGAAATGCACAGCCGCGCTCCCGGCTTGAAATGCGTACATGCTGTCCCTGTTTAAATGGGTTAAAATTTGCCGTGGAGGCACTTGACTCATCGTTAGACATTGGCACTAGACTAGAGGAGTAGTAACAGCCACTAGAGGTAAACACTTCTCCATCTGAACAGGAAGGCTACAGGCTGCTTTTCTGCCCATGCTGCCACTCTCTGGTGAACTCAAGTACTGTACATTAAATGAAGTTAATGTATTAACCAAGGTTCAGGAGCAGGACCACGCCTCACCACACCTTCAATCACCTGACTAGCATATTAATACACAGCCAGCCCACTACACTCTGTCTGCAATTCTCTGAGGAGCACAGACAGACCATGCACCGAGCAGTAACGCATTAAAAGAAACGGTAAAAACCAGCAACTTACCATGGAACTCCAGTTGCACAATTTGGACGAGGATCTGTATGACGAATTGTTCCAGGTCAACCATCCTTCACCCAGTGAGCAGCAATCGGACCACAGCCAAGCGCCATGGCAGACCTGCTTGTGCTCCATGGTTAGCATCCCGCAACCATGACGTACACATTCACGCTCTCTGAACATCATCCCAATGACTCCCGACAGATCCCCAGCCTCATCTCCACCAAGAAGATACATAGATCATAGCAACTACAGTTACAGCAACCGCTCCCGCTCCTCTCTGCTCCCCATTACGCCGTTCTCACCGCTTAGCCACAGGCATTTCAATATACTGCAGTAAAGCCTCGCTGAGATGACAGACTCTGTGCCCACGAACTGAGGACAACATCAGCAACTGGACCAAACACCGCAGCTACAGCAGCTGTAAATCCCGCAGTTCCTGCTTCCCCGCCAGAGCCAATCACCGCCAGTCACGTCAGGAGTGATGTCATGGAGCAGCTCCCTCAACCACAGCCCACCTCATTGGCTCCCCCTGGCGGGGACCAGGTTGTATTAGCCCCTGTGCCTGCTCCCTCTGTATCTGACTTCTCTCAATCTATCACAGCTTTCTCCACTTTGTGTTCGCAGGCTGCACCAAATTCCCGTGCACATACATCCTTTCATCCCAACGTCCCTTTCTCCTCTCTTCCATCAGCCTCAAACAACAATTTGGCTTCTGTTCCCCCTATTCCCACCATAGCCAGTTCCTCAGCTCTCCAAGGAGCCCCTCCAGCAACTCATAACACTGGCTATTCTCAACCCCCTCCGTTTCCTACTAATCTATCCTATAAACCCTCCCTCCCCATCCCTACCCCCTCCCTTCCCCAACACCCAAATGTATTTCCCATCCTGCACATAATTACACACTAGCCACAGCCGCTCCACCTGTTCAACCAGCCTCATCCATCAACCGTCCTTCACCCATTTCAACGGCACTACGCCAACAAAATCTCTCTGGTAATTATAGAGGTCTAGCTCAGCTACTCCACCCATCCACAACTGACACAAGACAGCCTAGGGAGATGCAAACCATTTACGGTCCAGTTCAGCTCCACGACCCACTTTCATCCAGGTCAAAAGACCTAACACCAGCAGAATTTGCCTTAGCATTTTTACTCTTCCGTGACACCATCTGTTTAGTTTTTCCATCTTGCAGGTCCAAGCTCGACGATTATCTCTTCATAATCCTAGGCATGGCCCTGCGTTTTGGCGGCACAGGCTTTTACAGCTACCATGTGCACTTCGCTAACCAGGCAGCTGTCCGCATTCAGCATTTCAACCACAACACATACTGGGGCACACTTGACTCTGAATTGTATTGCCAAATCTTTGCCGCCCGCACCTCCCTCTCTTGTGAGCTATGCAGAGCCCCCTCCCACCCTGCCACAGCATGCATTGTCAGTGCTCCACAACCTGGTCCACGCTCATCTTCCTCTCACAACACCACAGTCCTTAACCGCTTGTCACCTGCTGCACCTCCACCTCCAATCAAACCTAAGCCCTTGTACATTCAACCCACCGTCGATGTCCCCATGCCAAAAGGGGTCGACAAGAAAGGAAGACCCATCCTATATCAAGCCGGAAGGATGGTTTGCAATAACTTCAACCACCATGGCTGCACCTTCTCCAACTGTCGCTTCCTATTCGTCTGCTCCTTCTGCGGGGGTGCTCATGCCGGGTGCACCTGCCCACATAACCCAACTATGCCCGCCAGCTGACTGACACAGCACCTCAGCTTACCCATTAAGGTAAACGCTCTAGCTGCAGCTCTAAAAAATTACCCAGACAGCGAGTTTATCAATTTCCTTCTCAACGGCTTCACTCACGGTTTTCATCCTGGCATAGACATTCTCCCTGACACTTCACATACCTGCCACAACCTTCAGTCCGCTCTCAAGGAACCCAACACTGTTGATTCCTTGCTAGCAAAAGAGGTCAAAGAGGGATTTATGATAGGCCCATTTAAAGAACCACAGTTCCCCATGTTTCGGGTCAGCCCCATCGGCATAGCCACCCGAAAATACTCCGGTAAAAAGACGATGATCATAGACCTCTCCTCCCCCCTTGGTTCACAAATCCCCAGCATTAACAGCGTCATCCCATGCCCTGATTTCTCAATGCAATATGCATCAATCGATCATGCTATCACTCTCATCTGTCTCGCAGGCCAGGGAGCTTGGCTCTCCAAAGCAGACATCACAAGTGCATTTTAAATGCTACCCATGCACCCCAACTTCTGGTGTTACTTTGGTGTCTGCTGGAAAGGAGCCTATTACTTTGCAGTGCGCTTCACTTTTGGTTGCAGAAGCAGCCCCAAGATCTTCGACTACCTCTCAGAAGCACTGTGCTGGATTCTCACTAACAATCACAGACTCCCATTGATTCTACACCTCCTTGACGACTTCCTTGTCGTCACTCCACCATCATCCCCTCCCAAGTTCGGACTCACCACCCTCACCGACTGCTTTTCAGAGTTGGGTGTACCTCTTTCAAAAGAAAAAACTTCAGGGCCCAGCACCTCAATGGAGTTTTTAGGTATTACTCTAAATTCAGTTTCCCTCTAAGCATCTCTACCTCAGGAAAAGATACAGCACATCATCCTCATCCTCTCTAACTATCTCCTAGCAGATAGATGCACCAAACACCAGTTACAGGCCCACTTTGGCCAGCTCAACTATGCCATCCGAATCATCCCTCAGGCAAAACCTTTCCTATCCAATCTCCTAACAAAAGCTGCAGCAGTCCCCTCCTTGCATGACAGAGTGGTCTTGGACGAAGCATGCAAAATGAAGATGAACATGTGGCAACATTTCTTGTCCTCTTGGAACGGCTTCTGTGACGATTTCATAACCCAATCAGAAGACATTCAACTGTTCACAGACGCAGCTTCCTCTATAGGTTTCGGAGGCTACTACAGGGGGAAATGGTTCCCTTCCACCTAGCCTCCAGAACTAAAAGACCTCGACTCGAAATCCCAGTCTCCTTCATCAGCCCTTCATGAACTCTACCCCAGCATCACTGCAGCCTTACTTTGAGGGCAAGAATGGTCAAGAAAATCTATACTTATACACTCGGATAACGCAGCAGTCGTAGAAATCCTGAAAAAGGCAGTTCTCATTCCCTGTTTATCATGCAGTTCCTGCACAGACTCACACTAATCTCAGCTCACCACCAATTCATTCTCAGGGCAGCTCATATTCCCGGATACCAGAACACCATTGCCAACGCTCTGTCTCACTTCTCTTTCCAGAAATTCAGACATCTGGCCCCAGAGTCCGATCCGCATCCCTCACCAGTCCCACCGTTTTCAGTCACAACATTCAATTAACTCCCCTCATCCAAGGCCCTGCTGACTCCTATTTCCTTGTTGAAGGTTCAGCAGACACCTGTTTCCTCCCCGGAGGCTCTGATGACTTTAGTGCCTGCTCCTAGGTTGGTTCCCAGGCTGACTCCAGTACCTGCTTCCAGGTCAGCTTTCAGGTAGACTCCAGTGCCTGATCCCAGGCCGCCTCCAGCGCCTGCTCCCAGGCCGACTCCAGTGTCTACCCCTAGGTTGGCTTTTAGATTGACTCCAGTGCCTGCTCCTAGTTCATATAGTTCTTTTTTTCAGTGTCAAGTTACTGGCAGGGTGTATACGTGGACCACGGCTAGTGGCTGTCATCAACTGTATGGATAACATGAAGGTACCACCATGGGCGGAGTTAACCTATCAGGATTCACCACTCTAGCAGTTGGTGAAGTGGGCCTAGCCAGTGCTGGTTTTCTCCATGAGAATGACCCTTAAAGTACCCGAAGGCAGCTAAAGCAAAAAAAAAAAAAAAAAAAAAAAAACAGCAGTACAGAGCTTCTCAAATATTTGGACATTCATGTGAGCTGCTGCGGAATTCGCTGTGATAGCCCATTTAATGGCTCAGGGGACAGTGGAAAGTCTAAACAGCTACACTTCGGCTGGCCCACATCCTTTAAAGGCTGGGACCACCTGTATCACTTTTGGAGAGGGCTCGAGGAGAAGTTTGTGCAAGTTTTGAGTCCAACTCAAGTCTAACTTCACACCACTGGTTAGACACAAGCTACACCATACACAGAGTAGTGCTTCAAGTCCTTCACAGATCAAGCACAGGTGACTTGTTTCAGAGGCCCTGTTAGTTTGTTTACACTATTTTGTATAGTGTAAACACATTGGTATCATGCAATATTTTAGTATAAAAGAGAAGCTTTAAATAGAAATGATCTTTAATGGGACGAAGACAGGAATGGAACTCCAGAATTTACTTGAATATGACATGATGTCTGGTTTACATTTGACAGTAAAACTGAAATGTCTTTTTTTTTCTTTTTAAATCCCAAAGCTTTCTGAATAACCGAACAGCAGCCAGAAAGAATAATCTGCGCCCCAGTTTCATTTCTTAGACTTGAGGCCTTGACCTGATTTTAACCTCCCTGTCTCTGCCTACTTGAATTTTTTCTCCTGTGTCTGAGCTCCAGACAACACTGAAGGGTTCAGGGCAGATCATTTTTTATTCCAGCCATAAAGCCTCCAGAGGTCAGACAGATGCCACACTTTTTACTTTAAGCAGATATATTAATCCCTGAGACAAAATATCAGGCAATTATACAAATCTGACTGTTGATCCATGTCTTGTCAGCTTAATTATCAGTTCTGTGACCTCCCCAACACACATTTGGAACCATGATATACTTAAGCAAGACAGCATATTAAGGGGGTGGGGCGTGGATTATCATGCTCTTCCACATTTATAAAAATAAGTGCAAAGTTACAAAGTTTGTATGCAAAGTTTCAAATCACAAGGTAAACATACAGTTGATATAAAAAGTCTACACACCCCTGTTCAACTGCCAGGTTTTAGTGATGTAAGAAAAAGAAAATATTTTCACAAATTTTTCCACCTTTAATGGGACCTATAACCTGTACAATGCCATTGAAAAACAAACTGAACCTCCGAGGGGAAAAATAAAAAATAGAAAAGTTAAAATTATCTGATTGCATAAGTATGCACACCCTTAAACTAATGCTTTGTTGCAGCACCTTTGGCTTTTATTACAGCACTAAGGTCGCTGTCACACCAGAGCTGTGTGGTCTGCTTTAAATGGACCAGAGTTTGTTTCCTCGGATAGTCTGTTTTGTTTGGGCAGGTGTCAAAGCTCATCTGAACTCTGGTGCGGACCAAACAAGCAAACTCTGGTCCGCCTGAAAACGTGGGTCTTGGTTCGCTTGCAAGTGAACCCTGGTTCGGTTCGCATGCAGTGTGAAAGCTCACCGGACCAAACACAGGACCAAATGTACGTAATGACGCTATACACAGTGCATACGCAGTGCATCTTTGGTAGAGGAAGCACGGCGTCACTTGTTGCTATGGCAATAAGTGACCGCTGACATTAGCAGTTGCTAGCTAGCGTAGCTCAATTGTCTGAACAACATTAACCCATAAATTCACTACCAACAGTCACAGTCCTTAAACTCTGAGCTCATATGTTGTCACATGTTAAAAAACATGTTAAAAAATAACAGGATCAATCTCTGACAAGCTACGATAGCATTATAGGAACAGTCGCGTTCACTAATGTTGTAGCATTCCGTAAAATACTGTGACAAAGCACAATACAAGATGGCTGGTCCACCCTTGTTTGTAATCCTTGAGGTTACATACCCCTCATACTTTGTCCAATCGACGAGCGCCCCTTTCGACCACCTGATGCTGCTCAGAAAGTTCTGTGCGCTTTACAAATCACAGTGTGAAAGCAGAACGGAAACAAGTGATAAATGCAACAATGTTGCGACTTTCAGCTCCCCAATCGAACCGAGTCCGCTTGGTCAGGTGTGAAAGTGACCTTAGTCTTTTTGGGTAGGAGTCTATCAGTGGGGCACATCTTGATGTGGCAATATTTGCAAAACTGCTCCAAATCTGACAGATTGTGAGGGCATCTCCTGTGCACAGCCCTCTTCAGATCACCCAACAAATGTTCGATGGGATTCAGGTCTGGGCTCTGGCTGGGCCATTCTAAAGTCTCAATCTTACTCAGGTGAAGCCATTCTTCTGTTGATTTAGATATGTGCTTTGGGTCATTGTCGTGCTGAAAGATGAAGTTCCTCTTCATCTTCAGCTTTGCAGCAGAAGGCCCAAAGTTTTGTGCCAACACTGACTGGTATTTGAAACTGTTCATAATTCCCTCCACCCTGACTAAGGCACCAGTTCCAGCTGAAGAAAAACACCCCCAAAGCATGATGCTGCCACAACCATGCTTCACTGTAGGTATGTTGTTCTTTTGGTGATGAGCAGTGTTGATTTTGTGCCAAATATACCTTTTGCAATGATGCCCGAAAAATTCAACTATGGTTTCATCAGACCATAACACATTTTCCCACATGCGTTTGGGAGATCTCAGATGTCTTTTTGCAAAATTAAGCTGGGCTTTGGTGTTTTTCTTTGTAATATAAGGCTTCCATCTTGCCACCCTACCCCATAGCCCAGACTTATGAAGACAGCAGGAGATTGTTGTCACATGTATGACACAGCCAGTACTTGCCAGAAATTCCTGCAGCTCCTTCAGTGTTGCTGTCGGCCTCTTGGTAGCCTCCCTGACCCGTTTTTCCTCATCAATTTTTGACAGACGTCCTGTTCTTGGTAATGTCATCGTGCCATATTTTCTCCACTTGATGATGACGGTCTTTGCTGTGTTCCATGATATATTTAATTCC